AACCCTGTCTGCCCAGGTCCTGCCGGAAGAATCTCGTGCTCCGACCTGGAGCTCCCAAACGGAGCCAGACCCTGCTAGATCTCGGATCTGCAGCATGTGCATCGGTGCCAGTCTGTTTGAAAGCTTTTGCGTTAAGGCTTTGCATTAATTTTTCTCTCACAGGAGAAGGGGAATTCTCTTCGTCCCCACGCTGGGGACAGCATGGGCTCTCTTCCTCGGCGCGGCTGCTCTGCTCCTTCCCTTTTTGTGCTGGCTGTGCTCAGACTTGGCGGCTTTGCACCCCGAGGGATCAGTGTGTCTCACCCAAGTGCCACCAGCGTGAGCATTCACCAAAGCCTTGTTGTTTTGTTTTCCTTTCCCTAAAAAAAAAGAGAGGAAAGAATTAGGAAAGAAGAGGAAGAACGGAAGAGGCAGAAGTTACAGGCTGTGGAGAACAAGGCCAGGATAATGGAGGCTTTCCTGAAGGAGAAGGAGAAGGAGGTTCTCCAGCTGCAGGTAAGAGCAGCTGGTGCCTGCTGGGGAGAGCGCTGCCAGCAGTCCCTGCGGGGGATTTGATGGCAGCCCGTGGGAACCATGTGGAAGCCATCGGCTTATTTTCCAGAGATTTTTATGTTGGTAGCTGGGAACGCAAACGTTAGCGCCTTCCGGGAGTGTTGACAGTGTGTGGATGGGATAGAGGTTAAGTGAGAAACCAGAGGGTGGAATAATCCCGAGTGAGAGAATAAAGGTTTCCTTGTTCTGGGCTCGGCTTCTGCTGAGGTTCTGGCGATGCTGGTGGCACCTCGGGGTCTCTCGGAGCTCACGTGCTGCCCACAGCGACTTGTCCACTGGTGCGTGGTAAGAGCCGGTACTTGTCCTTCGCTCAGGAGGAAGCCAAAACCTTCATCACCCTTGAGAACCTGGACGCACGGATTGAGGAGTGCCTGGACAACCCTCGCAACTACAACTTCGCCATCGACAAGGATGGGCGGATTGTCAAACGGACAGTGTTGTCTTAGCGCTCCCTGGCCTGGGACGGGGGGGGTGCTGGGCTGGTTTCTGTCTGGAGGCTCCGTTTATGAGCCAATTTCTTCCTTTTAATGTATAAACCGACCACAGAATTGTTGGAGAAAGCCTGCGAGTCTGGCTGTGGTTCTTCTGAAGGGTTAACGCCTGCGGGAAGGAGGGTGAGGGAGAAACTTGGGCTTGCAACAAGCAGCAGAGGCACCAGCAGCCTGTCTCAGCCCTGCGAGGCGGCCGAGAAGCTGCCTGAGGAGCTGCTGGCGTTTGTATTCCCGTCGCTCTGAGACTCTGTGATTCCACCTCCCACGTGTTTGGATCCCTCACGCTTTCACGCGAAGCGTGTTGACGGGGCCGGGGGGGGAGAAGAGCAGATCCCGGCTCTGAGCTCCCCGGTGTGGCCCCCGGCGCTGTTCACGTGTCAACCCCTTGAGATGCTTTATGAAGGAAAATGAGGTGGGAATGGGTTTGTAGGAAACACTGACCCCACGCTGCTGCTGCTTGTTGGGGGAAAGAATGAATTGATTCTCTGTTTCCTTTAAACCTGCCTTTGCACATCTCTTAGTGTGGCTAAATGAGACAATTGTGCAGGGCACATCTAAATGATACCGGCTTTTACGTGTCTCCTTTTCTCTTCCCCCCCGTCAGCCTTATTTTACGCCTCACCTGGGGCTGAAGTTGGAGGTAATACTGTAATTACTCCGGGTCCTCTTTGGCGGTTCTGGCTTACTGTGGTCTTGCAGAGCTCCGCTCCCAGCTTTGCCCCAAAACCGCTGGGTTTGGGCTGCCCCACACCCGGCTGGAGTGTGCTGCGGTTCAGGCAGAGCCCGAGCAGCCCGACCGTGCTCAGATAAAACACCAGCTGCAGGAATTGGCCTTAAATCTTTGGGTTTTATCTACGCTTGCCTAAAAATAGCTTTTTTGCTCCTGCCACCCTCCTAAGTCTGCACCTAAACCAGGCAAGCACACAAAAAACCACAAGA